ACAAACATACCAAAATAAAGTTTAAAATACATATAGCGAAAGAAAGTTCAGAAATCAACAGACAATAAATTGTGAATTATATTTTAATCGATTTCAAGTTCATAAATTGAATAAAAAAGGATTTTACCGATAATTTTTAAACATTTAATAAATAAAATTTCAATTATCAGCTTCTATTTTTTACTAATTTTAAATAAAAAATAAAATTAAATGTATCATATTGATTCATATTAATAGTCTGAAAATCAGTTAAGTAACTGCAAGGAGTTATGGAACTTTTCGCTTGAAATAATTCTAAGATTAGCTTGTCAGCTTTTAATTCATTAAATTATGTTTATTATATATTCAGGAAATTACGTGTCAGAGAGTTTAAAATTGTAGAACTTTAGAAACGATGAAAAGATCATAACCTTATTAAAAGTTTGACATTTTTCTTGCGGTATTATACATATAATAATCTTTAAATTTGAAGACTTTCGAGTAGTAGTTATATGTAACGTAGTTGTAAATACACATAACTGTGTATAAAAAGCATAATATTTTGACAATATTTTGAAGAAACACAAATCAATTTCTTTCTAAATAAAAACTTTACGTGATTTGGAAGTAAGACAATTTGTAAATAAAATTAAATACTCCACGAATATGTATAGGATAGGGCTGAAAGTTCCAATTTGGCTGTGGTTGTTTTGCTGTTTTTCAAAAATTTATAATCTGGTATATAATAAAATCTGCTGAATTTAACTTAAAATTAACGAAATATCTTAAATAACAATATCATATCAAAATTATTAATGTTCACTTAAAAGTTATTTTGAGGTCCCGTAAACTAAACAACTGTGCTTACTACCAAAGAAACTAACAGAATATAATACTTTTGTTATGGATTTTTAAACATTGCCATTTATCTCTAATAGCAACACCGTAAGAATCAAGCTTATGTCTGGTTTTGCAACTTTTGCCCTCTACTTTCAGATATTGTTGTTAAAATTGTCCTAACTTTACTTGTTTTTTATATATCGGTGGTGAATCTTTTCACACGCAGACCTTTAGGCCCCGCTAGACAAAGTTAAAGTATCATGTAACCAATTTTCGAAACTTCAATCTCGATTTCATTTCACGGAATTAGCTAAGAATATGCATAACTATGATGTCCAAATATCCGACGGTATAAATTTATTAGTATTCATATTCTGGTGGTGTTGTAACAACAAAAGGTTGTGTGTTTATGAAAATTTTGGTGAGTGTACGCGGAATTGGTATATTTAAGCCCGTCTGTCTGCCGAAAGCGAAGGATTTGGATATTCGTGGCGCAATGTAAGCCCCGGCGTGTCTATCTTATCTATTGTGCTATCCGGACCGATGCGTCGACCAGACGGATAATATAGGAGAGGATCTGATATATGATGACTCAAAAAACGAGTAATTTGGATTTCCACATATGGTTAATTATTTTTATTAATATATTTTAACATGGTGGGTTTTTTAAAAAATTATTACGGATATCGTGGGAAGTCAGATTTAACCACTTCAGTACGGCGTCTACTGTCCATCAACCATCAAATCGTTCATAGACGGACCCTATGGTGACACTTTCGAGGAGTTATTTTAATTTGAAGCAATCTTTTCACTTGGATGTGAAAAAGGATTAGTCATTTATACACAACTAGTTATAAATTTTCAAAACGTAATTAGTATCAATATCAATGAGGTGCTATCTTTAAATGCAGCCTTTTTGCTTAGACGTGAGACGGTTCTAGACGGTTCTAGTCGAAATTAGTTTGAAATCAACAAAATATTGCATTAATATTCATCAGATTTTATTTAACACATTTATTTCATTTGCATGTAAATAAATCCTGATCAAAACCTTTAAATATGAAATTGGTAATTTTAAATCTATATCAAAATATAGGATTTTTCGGGATCAAAACTAAATACTTCTCTTTAATATATGGAAATAATAAAATTCTATGAAATGAATATATAGTTTTGTTAATTCAAAAATTTCAGAATACTTATGATAAAGAAAGTTTTACGAATTTGTTTTTTGGTTATGATTGATCTTCTGATCATTTACTGACCTTTTACTTCGTAACTTGGAGTGTCAGATTTATATTTAGAAAGCCAAATTTCTTTTAGCGTTCCATGGTAAAAGGCAAATATCCTGGTAAATTTTCTATTATTTTTTGTAAAATGATATTGCAATTTTAGTTATATTTCAATATTGTCAATTTTAAGTTATATTTCAAAACCCTATAGTCAACTAACTCTTTGACTATTTTATCATGTATATACGGCGTCTCAATATCGGATTTTGCGCCAAACGGGAAAAGTGTCGTCTCGGATAGAGCAAACATCGTAAAATCCGAAAATCCCGTACTCTCCGATATTTTTCACTTGACAGAAAATAACATCCTTCACTGTCAAAATATCTCAGGGAAAAAGCCGGTTTATTGAATACAATATTTTTCGAAAGGGTCCGTGTCCGTCAGGTATCCGAAGGGCTTGTTTTGTCCCTGAAGTTTTCTAATTTGTTTAGTCAGGTGTTTTCTTATACATTCGTTAATTTCCATGAGATAAAGGAATTTGATATTCAGTGAATATTAATTAAATGAGATAAATTAGACAATACGTTTAGTTTGATCAAACTGAAATTTCCAATATTCAAATTATTCCGCATGTGCAGGATTTTTATTACTCATAAACTTTTATTACCAGAGCTGAAGAGACACTTAAATCAATATTGATTTAATCCGACACACAAATCAAACATTCAGCACATCTCCAATTTATTATTTTAGCGATGACAATTTTCACAGCAAAAGTTCACCCACTTGTTATCTTCGATACTAAATATTTTCACAATGCGTGAGTGCCGAAAAAGTTTGAAAAACTTTAGTATGAGTTGAGAGTTTTTTCCGAAATATATTGTTTGTTTTCCATTACAACGCTTTTTGGGAGAAAATATAAGAAGCGTGTAAGCCATTCGATAATGGAAATGGCATTAACGCATGAAGTCCCTTAATATAATATAACGTAATGAATAAATTTCGAGGCTGAACAAAAAATGCTGTGTTGGGAAAAAATAAATTAAATAAAGAACCAATTGTGATCGTTATAATTGCGTTACAAAATCCACCCAATAAAATCGAGGGTACAACCACTTTTCTTCATTTTTTCGGTAAATACATAAGGATTATTGTCGTGATATAAAATGCTAAATTGATATTTAAATGAGTACTTCCGATTTATATATAATAACGGTCTTAATTTGATTTGCTGAAATAATATTTGCTGCTCAAACGCACTCAAGGATGAACCAAAAAATAATAAGGAGTTGTAGAAACAAGGATTTAAAGTACTGTGTGATTTAGCAAATTAAACATATAATTTAAACTCATTTTTTATTAAAGATAAATTTATGATCATATTTGAATTATTCACAGTCGTAGACTTATTTACTGATATATTGAAAACAAGCTACAAAAAATAAATAATAATGAAAAAAATAAAGGTAAGAAAATCCGGAGAAGGAAATGAATACTAGGCACTAAAGAATATAGTGCATATAGAACAATTGTGTTTTTTCAAAGGAATGCTTAAGTTTGCCAATTTAAATCATTCACCTCATAGTTATATTTCCTTAAATCACAAATAATTGTTTCTAAGTACCCTCATGTTTTCAGTACAAAGAACAGTCAAGCAATTTTGTCATTTCGCTTCTCTGAAGAGATTGTTCGAGCATCAGTAAACAAAAAGCAATAAGGAACTAATTAAAGAATCATTGTACACACAATTTCCCGTTTAATGAAGTTGTTTATTTACGTCTGTTGAAACTGTTTTTCATTCATTTGACATTTTAGAAACAGAGGATTTGACTAATTGAAAATGATTTGCTTACATAGTATCTTAGCCACCAGTACTTTATTTTAATTGACAATTATAAAGGAAACTTAGCTTATTTCCGTCAAGCAAAACATAGATTAATTTTATATATTTTACTATTGATAATACGAAAGTTGCGCTATAGATTACAGGTATTTTCTCAAATTAAGAAACCATTATTATAATTTAAGGGTACAATGAGCATAGCACATAAATTATATAAATTCCTTTACAAACACGTGGCACAATGTATTCAATTTTCTTATTACTAATTTGCTCTAATGTTGAGAATTTTGTTTGCAAAGTTTTATTTCAAGATATTTCTCAGTACTACAACATTGTAGATATAATTTTGTGAGCGGTTTAATGAAAAATATTTGCTGAATATTCTTTAAAATTTCTTGTTTAAGTTTATAGAAACTGTTCTTTATATTAAAAAACACAAATTACATATCTCTATAAAAGGAATACTTAAATCTTTTTTAATTAAAAAAACTCAACACACACTCAAGTTCTATCTTAGTATTCAGATATATGTAGATCTGCATAGTACAATATTGTACCTCATTTCATCTAAGAAAAGCTATGATAATAAATGAATAGTATTAAAAAAATACAATCGCAAATTATATAGTGGAGCTACGGTCTTAGGAGGCGTCCATTAATTACGTGAGCGAGTTTTTAGGGATTTTTGGACCCCCCTCCCCCTTGGTGATACATGGTGATATTCAAAATTCAAAGCCAAAGCCAAAGGAAAAACACCAAAAGTGAACCCATAGAAATAAAACTGGAGTGGACAGGACTAAAAAAAGAACATATTCTTTTTCAGAAATTAAATCGGAAGATTAGTAATTTATGGCTTGTGATGAATTTTAAGGAAGTATATTGAGTAGAGTTCATAAATAATTTTTCAAAAATTTATAGCTCATGAGAATACTTCACATTTTGACAGATTCATGGAAATTCTTATAATTGTGTAAGATTGTATTAGCATATTTTTCTACAGCCCAAGAATTACTTTATGAATCACCATGAATCAATGATTTCTACATAACAAATGAATTGATTCCTCATCCAGATACATAAATCACCATAAAGATAAGTATTCTCACCTGCTGGCTGTGGAATTGACGCTGGTGTTCGATCTGGAACGCCTGCTGATGATGCTGTCACCACAATTCACCACGCTTCCCTTCGACGTGATCGAAAATGATCGAAGTCGGTACAAATCGTCGCTCGCCCGAGGATTATATGGACGATCAGGCAAGGAGCAGACTCTCGGCCTGGCATGGTCTGGAACTGAGGACAAAATTAAATTAAATTCCAACTAATGGAGACAATTTACAATCTAAATTCCTATTGCTAGATATGTTTGTTTTTTGAAGAATTATTAGACTGATAAAAAAAAAGTTTGGTTTACGAAATTATTTGAAAATCTGATTTAACAAGTATTTATCGAAAACATACTGCATCAGAAAATTTATAACTGTTTTATATATCTTGATCAAGAAGATTTTTTTGTATCTAATGAACATCAAATTCATTTGATTCTATTTTACTCCTACTGTCCTCGTTAGTGCGCAGGGGTTTTATTTCCGATGTTACTGAATTTATTTTCATATTTATTTTTATAGAATATGAAATACTGATGAAAAAATCTATCGCTTGTTTCCGAAACGAGACTGTGAATTTGATTCGCATAAATCAATCAAGGCGCTTATGCCGTTTTGCTGGTACTATACACGTGCTGTGCTACGCGTAGCATTCCGCGTAGACTGTGGGTTGGGGAAATATTTGATTAGCAAATATTTAAATATAAAAATTAAATTTATTTTAACTAATTATTCTTATTATATATTCAAGATTATTTGAATTTGTTTTAGATATTTTTTTTAATTTTTTTAAAAACGATTCACAGAATTAAAGATACTAGAAATTAGTAGCTGTTTTTTTAACACGATCGCTCCACCGTATTTTATACTGCAAGTTAAAATAAGGAAAGTTTACTGCAAGTTTAGTAATGCTTTCTTGTCTTAATATATATTATTAATAAAAATTAATTAAATAAGTATAAATATCAATAATCTAAATAGAAGTGTGAATGCTTTTAGGAACTAAAGCTCGTGTATTTTAGTGTTTCGTGCCACATTTTTTTTTTAAACAGACAAATATGAAATTGTAAACATATTAAGCTATCTTCATATATTGTTTATATTAGTAAGCAAATAAAATTAATTTGTTTTTTAACAATTTGATTCGTGTAAAAAAGTGGCAAATTATAATTATTTTTTCATTTCTTCAAATTTTGGCTTATCATAGTAAGTTAGTAACAACAACACTTTTTTGGGCACTTTTTGGGAATTGCCCACTATGATAAAATTTCGGTTACAATTATTATTTTGGAAGACTTTTCAATATGTTGACTGGCTCTTTCACAGTGGTAGAAGCGTGGAGCTATTGTAAATGCCACAGCGTCGGCGAGATTATAAAATCGATATACCATTTAAAACAACTTGATGACGATCGCGGGCTACATCTGTACTTTTGTTCGGCTTTGTAATGCCATACAGAAATATTGTATTATATTCGTCATGTAACAGAATAACGATATAACGAAAATTTAATAAAAATAAAAATGAGTATAAAATAATATATTATTTTGTAAATTAATGTATGTTAATAACGTATAAAAATATAATAAAGAGATAAATATAATAGCATTTTGAGATCATGAGATCAGGGATCTATCTATAGAATTTATCTATAGAATTTATCTAAGAAGTGCTTTTGATTTTATATTATCATTATCATCTTAATTGAATATAAAACTTCTGTAACATAGTTCCTTTCACAAATATTCACTAAAATAAATCAAATGTATAGTTTCATATCGTGAGGTAGTTTATATGTAAACGTACGGTATCCTGTGCAACTTGTGTATGATCAACTTTTTGTTTGTCAAACATAGTTATACGAGATTATATTTGTGTTGAAAATAAGTTGAAACTGTCGGACTGTCAGATTTATGAAATCACAGAAGGTAGTGAATTATTAAATATAACCGAGGGAAAACACACATTGCAAAATGTATTGTTAATTACAAAAAATAAGGGTAGTGAGTAATTTTTGATTGAAAATAAGAAAATTCTAGTTGGATACCAAATACTTACATACGTGTTTTTTCTTGAAAACAGTTTTCGTCAAAATATGTTTACGTAAAAGACGATATTTGAAACAAAGGTCATTAAAGAGTTATACTGCAGAACATCTTATTGATTAACCAAAGTTACTAAATGGTGTGTGATTTTAGATCAAAGAACGAAAAAAGTTTGTCATCCGATTTATTGCATTTGATTTTATGATAATGATTTTTTTCCATTTTTGCACCTCCATTATTATGGTGCTACAGTTTTTAAGAATAGGGGCAGAAGGCCTATTAATAAGATAAATTCCAAACGTCTCAGGATCTTTTTATGCAAATACTCTGCCATTGTGTTACCATAGCAATTTTCGTGAGTGCATCACCCCAAGACTCCCAGTAAATCTAAGACCTCTTCTTACCTCTGAAGGCATTTGTCAGTCAGACATGTTCTGGTGAATTAGGGTCACCAAACATCAGTCTTTGCCCAGAGGAGACTTTTAGTGAAACAGGACGTAGAACTATGTAGATTTTTTTGTACATAAAATATAATTCAGTAGAAATGTTCTGTAGTGTTTGTGATGCTTTGTACTCGCCTAATTAGTTTTTAATTAGCTTTGACATTACATTTTCTATGTACAAACTTGCAGACATGTGCAGATATGGCTACTGTGTTGTATTTTTTCCATTTCTACTCATTATGAGGTTTAAAATCATTTTAATTAATAAGCTATATTTAGAACTAACACGTTTTCAAAGCAATTTGCATAAAGAAAAACATGATTTAAATATTTTAGAGGCAGAAAATAAAAGAAAATATTTTAAATACATAAGAAAATTATTAAATCTAAAAACTAATTTAAAATGTATTGAGATATGAATTCAAGCAGAAATTGAATATTTCAATATTTCGCGAATAAAAATAAAAATATAATTATTAATTAAATCTCTATAAAATAAAATATTACTTTTTCAAATAAATGTGAAAAAGGTGGTATATCACATAAATTAATTTATGGTTGTACAAAACACAATTTATTTGGTTAATAAATTATCCGATATTTTAGTAGAATGTAAAGCTCTAATTATTAATGATTTAGTTAATCCCTCAAATTTGTCTATGTTGTTAAAATTTAAAATCATTTGATTGAACTGATGTTTTGATATTACAAAAAATAAATAAAATCTTTTATAATTTTTAAAGAAGTCATCTACTTTATATAAATATATTTTTGCAACATTATCGTTTCCATGATACGTTTTCATCACGATTATATTTTCTATACAATAGAAATTTTAAATTAATAATTTAATACCCTTTCTTATTTCGACATCCGAGTTATAATTAAACAGAAGCCGAGGTATTTCGGAGTTAACAATGAAAGTATGAAATTATCGCAACAAAAGCTACAAAAACTGATCGAAAATTTGATTTTGATGAATATTGTTAATGAATAGCAATGAAATTGATCCATAAAGTATTTTATTAATTACGTAATATTAATTTCGTATCGAATTTAATTTTACAGTTGTTATTTTATTATAACAGCGACTGTAAAATTTTATTATCTATCTAAATAAATGTTCACACTAATTTTGTGATATTTCTAAATAAAATTGTTCAATGAAGGAATTTCAATATTCGGCGGTTCAGTAGTAATTTTAAATTACTGTAAATAAAAATGTAATAACAAGGTGTTCAAGTCAAATCTTTCCTTTATTTTGTGTGAATAATCGACTTAATGTAAGAAAATTAAAATTTAGCAACTTTGTGACGATATGTAGACATTTCGATATAGTTTATTATTGCATTTTGATAAAATATTCATTATTAAGCTTTTGTAATTGAACAGTCAATTTAAAGGTGTTCTTTTAGACCATCATAGAAAATATCATAAAAAATGTCAAATCAAAATTAAACTAAAGCTTTTTTATTTCTTTCAGTTTCTATTTTATTTATAATACTAATTAATTGAATTCAATACGAATTTAATTATAAGAAATATTGGCCCAACTTTTTGTGCCTTAGAGTAGCTTACAGAAGTTTCTGATATCAAAAGCTCTTGGACTAGATTTTGTAGTTTCAAAATAAATAAATTGAATCTAAAGTGAATAAAATTCAATAATCATTTACTTACAAGAAATGATTATGTGGTATCGACTATAATAATTTAAATTAATATTAGACCCAACTTTTTAAGCCTTAAAATGGCTTATAGAAATCAAAAGCTCTTGGACTAAATTTTGTAATTTCAAAGTAAATAAATTAAATTAAAAAATAAAATTAATTAGATTCAATTATCATTTAGTTACAAGAAATGATAAATGTGGTCTCGACTATAACAATATAAATTAATATTACACCGAACTTTGAATGTCTTCCCCAAGTTTGCTAGATCAAAAGCTCTTGGAGCGTTGGCCCCCTTCGCCACTTCAAGTGAGTGGTTTAGATAATATTAACAGTCTTCTTGGGCAATGTTGCATGGGAAATATGTTCTCTGCCAGAACAACAACTTGGAATCTTGTTGTGTATTTACATAGCTCATATTCAAATAACACGAGCAGGTGGAAACCTGAGTTAATAGTTTGCCAATTAAATTATTATACATAATAACCCACGCGGAGAAACGATAGATAAATGATAATTGACTCGATCAATATAATTTATATCTTAATAATTGGAAATACGTGATTTTTTAAATGCATAGTCGCGTAAATATCCATATTTATAATCATAATTTTGTAATACTTATTTCAAACTGTTTAATTCTAGTATGTATTTATGACTAAAATATATCCTCCAATGAGTGCAAAATATATGTGCTAATGGTTTCTAATCTCGTCTGATAAACAAGATTCAAGGTTCATTTTCATTGATCCAAAATAAATTCCGTTTAGTTATTTTAATTATTTGTGAATCTATATTATTTCAGGCCTAATTCAAATATATCAATTGTGATATATTACCTCTGTTTTGGATCAGATAATATTGCAGATCGAATGCACACATTATTTTGACTCTACATTTAATTCCGGATAGTTTATATTTAACAAAACTAATTAAACTAACATAATTGATGTATGCTAGTTATAGGTACGTCCAATTCAGATAGGAGCCTGTAATTAAAACCTAATCTATTACTGGATCAATTTAGTAAAAATTATAATTATTCTTTAATCTTATGTTTCTGACTGGCAAATTAAATTATCAGAAAAATACAAATATTTAGCTAATACTAATAGCAGTATGATTCTGTGATTGGTTTTCAAAGAAGTACAAAATTATTTCTCATAATTTTGGAGTTTTAGACATTCTTAAGTTTAAACTGATTATTTCACCTGTACTATTGTTTATATAAAAAAGAAATTTAAATATTCAGGTTGATATAATAAGAAGTGCTTAAGAAATAGATTTCTACAGGTGTATGCAGGTACAGGTTAGAATATATAGATTTTTTTATATTAGATTATAAAAATTGTATAGGTATATCATGTGAGATATGTGTGTTTCAAATAGCAGAGCAATACGCTATTATTATAATTATTATTCTAATCGTCAATCTTTATTCTAAGTCAATTATGATAAATTTTGTTAATAAAATTAATACACGTAATTGTTGCGTAACAAAATCGAAAACTACTAATTAAACAGACAATATTTTACAAAGTAATGATAGTTCAATAATGAATTGGACTCGGAAATATGAGAGCTTTTAAAAATATTACCAATTATAGGAAAATTATAACATCGCAAATGCAATTAACTTAACGGCATTAAATGTTTGTGTTTATTCGTGCATCAAGTTGAGTGATATGAATTAATTAGTTGAAGCACGTCTACGGAATAATTGATAATTATAATATATTGCATATTATAATTTATAAATGAAGACGTGTTTTATTCATAGATGCTACTAAAAGCTTATAACTGGATATTATAAATAATCTCATTAAACATAGATTGATAGCAAACATTTTATAGTTATCAAAAACTTGATGACATGAGAAATTATTCATGTAATATGAATATATATAACAGTAGTCTTCTTGACAGTTTTAGGCTACAATTTATATATATATATATATATATATATATATATATATAAATATATGTGTGTATGTATATATAGATTAGTTAATATGTAATCCCACGTTTCCTCAAATTGCAGACCTCAGTCCTTTACCATAATGGATTGTGGTTCTTTAGTACTTATAGTAAATCTTCAGCTAGTGTTTTAGACCCAACCCAAGGGTTAACATCATCTTAGCCGATTGAATGTCCCTTTTGCCCTTACTATCATTATTTGCTCATTTTAATGGACTTCGATCAGTTTGCAAGGCCTCAAAGACTTCATTTGATATAATGCCATTTAGTTTATGGCAAGACAGGGGAGCTTATCGAAAACCGACAACTGATGGAAATGACTTATGTGATAATCCTAAAATCTAATGGAACAAGAGTAGCATGTATTATGCATTTTAAGTAAGCTTGAATATAAAAGCCATTTACATATTTTCCTATGCTAACTCACGTAAGGTTTGCATGACGAATAGTTATGAATAAGAGTATGATTCATCAAATATAAATACTCACCTGAACTAAAAATTTTATTTCAGTAGAAGCAATGGAATTTTTATTTTATTACATAATCATAATGCTACTTAAGAACGATCAAAATTATCAAGATTTTCAACATCAACTAACTTTATTCAACTTTCGTAGTTGAAGGATAGTCTCTAAGTAGATTTGAAGCATAATTTTAAAAATAAATCCTAAGAAGATTTTCTAATTTCTATCAGATCCTAAAAATCCTTTTCGTTATCCAAGTTAATGATGAAACGTGAAGAATTGAGAACAAGGCAATAGAATTTCTCAGACTGCCTTTGGCACTTATTACATTGTTTTATACGTCTCGGGAGTACAGCATCACATTTATTGCTTTGCTGCGGTATATATTATTCGAAATGTATATTATTTGGAGAACTGGTGACAAATTTACTCAAAAACTAAAAAATAGTCTTTGGATACTATTTGGCATGACTACAAAAATCTGTCGTATGATGTAAAGTTGGTAAATGATACTGCTGGAATTGGTGGTAGCCTAAAAAACTATAAAATATATCAATATTGAAATTTCAAACGTTCCTTAAAAAAACGTCTGTACCGATTTTACAATTTTATAAGCTATTATCTTTACCTCTCGACACGGAGGAGCTGCGATCAGGTTTGCGAGACGCGATTATTTTTCAGCTATTTCTTTGGAATTAGCAAAAAAGAGCTTTTCTGTAACGGTTTCTGCAAAAATCTTGCTGTATCAAGTTTATGGATTTGCGCATTGTTTACAGAAATTAATTAATAGTTATCTAAATAGAATCTTTATGTCTACGTTACCTAACGAGCAGTCTACAAAACTTCTCTAGCTGTGTAAAAAATGTTACCATTAATTTAAATAAACAAATAATATCAAAAACTACATACATGGTATAAGTAATCTTGCCAGAAATTTCTTATAGCAGATGCTTGATAATTCACAAAATAATTTATTAAGTTTCTTAATTGTTATTGCTTGGGTGGAGCGACTATGGCGGATGCTGAGCACGCCATTGTGGAGTGCAAAAAATGGGAAAAGGGTAGACAAGAACTACGGAGGGAGATAGTCAGGCAAAAAATTCCCTCCTAACCAATTTTATAACATTATTGACTTCATTTCTGCAATAAACAACTAAAAATTTTATCTGAGTAGATATTCCACAAAATTTCACTTACTTATACTCTTTCCCTAATTTGGTGTTCAACTAACATTCGAACAAAAAAAATTTTCTTTTTCCACCTCCCAGCTCTCTGTATTTTTTTCCGTGATGTGTCGGCCACCCACAACGTCTGAGTTAGGCACTGAAATACAATGATCCTGACGTACACTCGTATATTGAGAGACATAAAGAGAGCCCTCGGAAAAGGTGTAAGGATTTCGTCTTGTGGGAGTTACAGTCGAGGAGGATTACCTTGCCACATACGATACCAAGACTTGGTCGATAAACATTTACGCGAGCATCTTGACAGTAAACTGTAAAATTGTGAATGTATAAACTGATATTCTAAACTATCTGCACAAAGAGTTATGAAATTTGAATTCAAATTTTGCGGGTAATATACTTTGTAGATTATTGACCTCAACTCACATAATATAGTTTTTCTGTGAAATTCGATTTTGATATTTTTAAAGCTTCTTATGAAGGTTTTACTGTAGTGACAGTCGTCACAACTCCTAAACATGAAGTATGTTTTTTCGAACAAGTTTACAGCATTGCACACAATAACTATTATTACTATAAACAAGCCGGCTTTTAATTGCTTGGGTGGAGCGACTAGGGCGGATGCAGAGCACGTCATTATGAAGAATTATGGAGGGAGATAGTAAGGAAAAAAAATCTCTCCCCTAACTTTTTTGATAAAGTATATTATTTATTTTACTTATGGGTCAGCAGTCCACAATTTTTTCGTCCAAGATCAACTTTCTATTTCTAGATTTTTTCTATCCATATTCCTTTTCAATAAAATTGCGTTCCCGGATCCTGTATGACATAGGTTGCCTTGTCAATTCTCATAAAATGTCATACGAGAGATGAATATTATGTAATATTCTTTACATCTTTACATGTATCGGAGGTATTATAACGGATGCTTTAGAATATATTCCTTAGTATGGTTATGGGATATGATGTGGGGCTTTGGAAACCTAGGTGATGGATTAGAATTGTCTACGTTTGAATCTGTAAGAGATACGTATGTAAAAGATGAGAGGTGACATAAATCAATCTATTAAAATGTAAAATGACCTTATTTCTCTGAAATATTTTTGAACAAATTTATTGCAAAGCAGTCGTTGATCATAGCAAAAGTTGCAGAGATTCAAAATCCAATTTTCTTTCAAGATGATTAATATCCCTCGAGCATCGGAAACTGATTTTTAGGAAGATGAAAAATAGCTCAATATTCAGTATGATTTACAATATCAAAAAAAGTGACAAAAATTTTGCAAGCATGGAAATTTAATTACGCAGGTACTTAATTTCACTTTATATATGAGAGGATAACTTAATATACTGAAACATATATTAAAACATATTAAATTTGCTCTATAATACTATTGATTACTAACTGACTTGAATTGTTGCATATTCATAAAATATTATATTGACCATCATTTATCTTCATGAATTCTCACGTTCGCACGTTCCTCTCGAAATAGAGAATAGATCCCCGAGAATTTAGTTTAATTTTTTTCCTAAATATTTTATTTTCATCACCACGATAAATCAACTGTTCAAATCGGTTTTAAACCATCGAATCGATTTTTAAATTACAAAAAAGTAAAATAATGAAATCCTCGCGCATCTATTCTCTATTTCGAGAGGAACGTGCGAATGGCAGCAACGCGCCCTGACGTCGAAAATAAAAATTGGTTTGGTACAAAAAATGCCAGAAGGGTAATTGATTTCCGCACGGGTTCTGTTAAACTTTCGACGGTGAATTTCCTCGCAGACCATAAAATAACGGCCCCAAGGACGAAATTCCGAACACTTTTGAGTCCCAAAAATCAAATGTTGTGCATTAAATTGATTGCATTAGGGATTAGGGTATAAAATGAGAGTTTTATTTACAAATGTACCAAGCTTTATTTTATACTATGCAATTAACTTAATTTTGAAGACACTCTATAAAATTTATAAACGTCAAATTCTTTGATATAAATTATTACATTCTATGAATGTGGGTTACTTTATTTGAAACTAACAAGTATTGCACCATTTTGCAAAATGATCAAAACTTTTAATAGAAGTTTGAACAAGACATAATTTTGTTCAGTTTTTTTAAAGAACTGCTTTCAAAGTAAACCAGTTTTGAAAATTTTAAATTTACAGTTGAATTATTATTTTTGACTGTAATCCTAAAAATGTTATTAAATTTTATTATTTTTGTCTATTTAAACTTTTAAAATGACCACAGTCAAAAATAATAGTTCAATTGCATCACTTTTACGTTTTTAAGTTTGTAAGTAATTGAATTATAATTTTTGACTTTGGTATTAGAAATGTTATTAACGATTAAGGTTTTACAGTTTAATGAACAAAAATAATAAAAATTAACCACAATACCCGAAAAAATAGTCACAGTTCGTGCAAAGCTCCAGCTTAAAGCTCTAGCTCTAGCTTTTACTTCAAAGCTCATAATTTTCAAACAACTTGGGATATTGTTTTTTTTTATATTTTTCGCATGAATTAATAAATTACATAAAAATTTGTAAAACATATGTTGTATGCTCTATGTATTTTTATCAGAATGATACTTCCTATGAAATTTCAAAAGTTATTCAACATCTAATTATTTAATCTAAAATTTAACTTTTAGGAATATTAATAATATAAAATCTATAACTAAAATAACACAGATGAAAACATATTAAATTTAAAAAAGGCAATAAATTCAATAATAGGTAGGTGTACAGCAACAGATTTGTGAAGTGTTTGAATTGAACATAAATATATAATATGTTATTGCAAGAGCTTTTCAATAAAATATTGGATTATCGATGGTATTTTTAATTCAGGAGTGGTATTTTACATTTATTAAAAATACGTTTTATATAAACATGCACAACTAAAATTTCATCAATATTTTATGTCATATTTTAAAAGTATTCGTTGATCAACTCCAATTCATTTTATAAAATTTTTTGTGACAGATTTTTTGCGATGAGAAATGGTTTTATTAATATAAAGTCATATCTCTGAATAAGCAAAAAATAATATGAATTCATATCTTTAAGTTCATTATTAAATTCTTTTCAATATATATCGCCAGGAATTATATATATTTTCCATTTCTGAAATTTTTGCAGTACCTACTTATGCATAAATATATTTTTCATCTTCTACGTTTTCATGACATTTATTAGATGTTGAAACTAATATTTTGGAGGAATATGAACGAATGACATTTTAATTTAAAAAATATCATAGATATTAAAGTTACAGAAGAATAAAGGAAAATTTGGTCAATTAAACAGCATGTGTTTTCAATGAAAAAATTTTAATAAACTAAATATTAATGTTGTTTGATTATAAATATTAGTAAAATATATAATGAATAAACCTATATAAATGTATAAACCTATATAATAAATTATACAAAAATCTTCTGACTTAATAGAAATAATATTGAAACGTTGTTGTCACTATGTGTGATGTCTAAGTTGCATTATATATTAAAAAAATGAATGATTTGTGCAGATCCTGTTTTAACACGTTTTATCGTTTACTTCAATCAATATTAAAAAATATTAGTAGCAAAACTTTTAAAAGTCCAAAATTTAAATTAAATTCAATATTTAAAAAAATGTCGTA